AGCTGAACTTCATTCATATTCAGATTTGCAGCGGAGCCCTAATTAACGTGAAATCTTTACAACCCTCTTAGTAAGTGAAACCTTCACTGAACTTCAAGATGTTGTGACACCGAGAGTAAGATAAGAATAACAAGCACCAGTAACTCAATTCCTTTGCATATTTAGAGGAATATTTAAGCAACCCCGAGAGTTTTACTTTGATGCAAATCCGTATTTCAAAGCTCTCCAAAGGCGAGCCGGCTAGCTGCAGTAAGACCCCTCTCTCCTGCCAGCACCCGCACCCTCCCCACCAGCCCGGGCTCTCACGGTGCTTGAGAAAGCTCCAGCCGAAGCGTCGCTGACGTGCTGTAACCGGAGCGACGCGAGATGCCAGAGCACAGATCAGGCGTCGTTGGGAGTTCTTTCCATGCGACTTGAAGAAGATTAACTTCTAAGTGTGAAAGCTGCTCTGCATCTTCCAGTAATGGTCTACAGCTTCACGCCTCCTTGGTAATAGCTCCTGCCTATTAAATGCATCTTGATTAATATAATTATTATTAAAAGTTGTAAAAAAATCTATTAATGAAAATATTAATAAAATATCTTGAGCCTCAGGAGAACCAGAGGCTTCCCAGGAGACCAGAGAACCACCACTGGCCCCACACAAGTGCCAATACGACTTCTGGGGAGGAGGCTCTTTGCTGCCCGAGGAACCTCTGGGAGAAGGAAAAGCGGAGCTGAGTAAGGAGCTTCAACAGACTGGGACCTGGTAGATGGGTTTTGCACACCCTCGTGGTCTTCCAGGTGGGAGAGAAATGCGCAAAGACCTTCTGCTTCAATTAGCTGTGGGCAGGTAGGGTTGGAGGACGGCGCATTTGGCTATGCATCCTTTCAGACCTGAACCTGTTGCTCACCTCAGCGCACTCCGTGTGGATGATGGGACCATCATCTTCAACGTAGAGAAGGTTATAATCAGCGTTCCTGTATACTCTGATCTCCACCGTTTTTCTGAAGTGTGACGTGATGCTCTGACAGAGCCTCATCCATACACGGTCACCAGCAGACGCAAAGTAAAAGGGGAGAGGCCCTGCCACCGCGCCTCACTCACGACCATCTGTAGCTGAGGGGCTTCAGCATTCAGAGACTACGTCCACAATTTATTCTATTAATTCCCCTAATTATTTTCAACCTTGTGGACACTGTTGGTCTCCACAGCACCTTGCGGTGATGCGTGTGGGCAGCTTCCGTGCTGCATGAAATGGATCTGCTTTTGTTTGGTTTGAGCCTGCTGCCCTCCGAAGGATGGGCCATGGTTTCTCACAGAAACATAGCCTCAGTCCTCGAAAGGACTTGGAGTATGATTATCATTTAAATATTTAATAATATTTATATTCACAGGAGAATCATGGCAACATTTCAAGTTATCCAAGTACATACACCGAGTCAGGATACTGCTGAACTTCTCCTCGCTGTTCAGTGTTTAACCCACAGGAACCAGGCTGAGGAGGAAGAGCTGATCTGGCATTGCTGTAGAAAGCTTCATCCTGCACGTCAAGTCTTTGGTTTATCAGCACGATAAGCTGAGACCTGCGGCTGTAAGCTCAGGAGCACAAGCATCACCTCCGCACGGCTTTGCTGACCTGATTTTTGCCTGGGTGTACTGGTTTACAGCGATTCGGGTGTAAAATGCCACTGGTGGCCTGCTTTCAACCAGTAACATAACCACAGCCATACCAAAGTACTGGCCTGCGATGAATACAACACAGGCCAAAAGCAGAAACAATAATTCTTCAGTAATGTAAATTTGTCACTTCCAGCGCACAGAACATCTCCAGAGAGAAAATAAGAACGTGGACATAAACCACCAGTGAGCTCACCAGGAAAGATCCCAAGCGTTTGAAAGAAGGCACCATGCTATCACCGCTGGGATTTCCACCGGAGGAGGAAGGACCCTGGTCCTTTGCATGGGTTGCATCCCTCTCTGCCCGCTCGCTCCCCGCTCTTC